CTCTAGCTCAGCATTCTTGGTCTGGGCCCAGTTTTTCCATACTTCAAGCCCTTCTTCTGGTTTCAGAGAATTTGGAAGCAGAAGTTCTGGGGAAGGCTGTGGCTGTGATTGTGGTTCAACTTCAGCAACTTGGACAGTTTGAGCCTATGAAAAAGAGAAACCATTAAAATGTATCAATACCAGGTTTGCATTATATCCCTTTGCAAAACTGCCAGGAAAATGTTACCTGCCGCTCATTTAATAAGACAAAAAAAAAAGTTTTCTTCTTGCTATCTTGCTTTAAAGAAACTTCAGTGTCCCACTCCAAGGACAGAAAGAGCTAAACTGCAGGTAAACTAATGTTATGCTTTAGGCCTGGCTGCACCTTAGTAAAAATGCTAATACTGGAGCTCTGGTAGCCTTGTGGCAAGAAGCTGCACTGCAATCCCAGAGGTAAGAGGTTTGAATCCACCAGATGCTCTCCCAGAGACAGAGGGGCAATCTCCTCCTGTACCAGTCAGATCTGATTTGACAGAACTCACACACAAAATAATAAACATTAAAAAAATTTTTTTTTTAAAATGCTAATACTAAGGCTCACCCAAAATCTCTAGATGCAAGCCTGGGTGTTAAAGACTTTTTAAAATTGCCCAGTTATGTATATGACAACAATCTGGAACAAGGGTTGCACTGCACGGAGAGGGAAGAACAAAATGTGCACTAATGAATAAAAAGAAATTTTTTTTTAAAAAAAAAGTAAATAAAATCACCCAAAGTAAAAAGAGAATTCTAATATTTAGTCATTGTTGAGAATTCCTACTGGTCCTAATCACCTTTTCTTAAGCTTTACTGTAGAAAGAAATCACTTGCGAATTTAATTAAAATGCAGGTTATGATTCAAAAGATCTGAGGCAGAACCTTGAGGATACATTTTTTTTTAAAGTACTCAGGCAATGCTGATGTCACCGGTCTGTAGACTACATGTGTCTAGATTAGTTATTCTTATAAATTGGCTGCACTTTCAAATTATCTGGCCCACATTTTTAAAAAAAAAATCCATGCCTACAAACAAATGGATAGAGAAGCTGTGGTATATTCACACAATGGAATACTATGCTGCATTGAAAAACAAGGAACTCATGCAATATTATTCAAAATGTGTGACCCTGGAGGACATTATGCTGA